AAAAAAAAAACATTTTCGGTGGGCACCTTGAGGTACACGGCTGAAGGGTCTTACATACTACCCAGAATTTCAGGAGCTAAAATATTTTCCGAAAAGTCTTTCTGTTTTCGCTACCCAAATAAGAGCATGAGCGCATTGTAGGATATGTAGAAATTTCGTAATAGTCGTAAAGCAAGCATTCAAGACCTCGCTAAAGGCGCCAAACATTTTTCGAAGTTACGTAACAGTCAAGAGAAATTTGTTCTTTTATGATTAAAACAAAAAAATCAAAACTTGTGCGTTTCATACAGCACATTATCATCAATAATTCAGCTCTACGGATTGTGCTACAAAACCACATTTCTTATAATATCAGAAATTACTTCAAAATAATGCAATACCAGAACCACAGCAATTGTACTTATAAGAAATATGTATATTGGCACCATATGCACTTGTATCTTCATTTGGATTTGGATGATAAGTGTCCTGGTTAATGGGCTCACGCATATGGCAACCATAAATTACGGCGATTGGTAGAAGTCTTATTGATAATTTTGGCATAATATTAAGAGTTTTATCCTGCGGAATCTCGGTTAATGTTAGAACGTTTAAGGAGCTGCTAAATATTACTAGAAACTCATATTTAATACAATATAGCTGTATTACATGCCAAGTACGGTTCATATGGTTTTAGTAGTTACATGGGTGTGATGTTTTGGACCACTTAAACTTGTCAGTAGGTTATAAGAAATTAAAAAACGTTTTAAGATTTTCATTATTTATTACTAGCCAATGCCCGTTTGCTTCTCGGTTCCTAATAAGAACTTTGGCGTTGCCCAATGCAAAAGAGCGTTTAAAAGCAAAAATAGTCTTTAAAGTCAAAATATTTAGTTTACGTTGAAACCACTAAAGCGCAGTTTTCTAGTGTGTTTTCGAACTGGCTGCCGAGATAGGTCAATCTTCCACTCAGCTATCGATATGGAATACTTATCCCTTTCGATGTCATGAGCCTTACTGATGGTCTTATTTCCACCTGTGAGATCTCTGCCAAGCATGCGTAATATTTTTCTATGATCTTGCAACTACAACACTGGTCCGATGCGTAAACCAATAAGAATTCTTAAGAGGAAACTCCAGAGCCCAGATGTGCGTTTTCTGTTGTATGAGGGTCAAGAATCCTCACAGTCCCACGGATGAAAAGTTTTCCTTACATTAGCTAAATGAGTCGTGTGATCTCTTGAATATCATTCAAATGAAACAGCGCCATCCATTGGGTCGATTTTCTGCAAAACCATTGCTTACCATCAAATTAATACATATTATGAATTTTAACCTCGACTCCAGTGGCACTCAGCGGGTCAAAAGAATTTTTCATCATACATATACAAAGCTCTCATTTAAAATTTGAACGAAATCTGTCAATAAATATGACTTGTATAAATAACTCTACTCCAGCGCCACGTAGCGAGTTTTCTAGTAGCATGTAATAAGACCATATATGTAAAGTATAACCTCCGATAATTTGACGGAACTCTATTCAGTGGTTTTTGAGTTTACTCCGAACAACGAAAACGGCTATCATTTTGTGTACATAGGTATGTAGTCTATAACGAATCTCATAAAACCCAAAGCTTCAATCTTTGTGCTCAATTAAAAAAAAAATACTCACAAATTTTACCTTTTACCAAAAATTAAAAACAAAGTCACAATAATTCAGTGGGATTTAGAAATCTAGGAGCAAATGGTTCCCAATCGTGTGGTACTTGCGCGTTTACGTAAATGTATATAGATGCAGCGTTTCCAATAATTACCACTTTTCGCCATAAGTACGGTATTAATAGCATATGTAGCTGTGTCGAATTTCAGGACGTTAGAGTAAGCGGTTCCAGAGATAAGCTATATCAGAAGTTCAGTTTGTATGGGAGGTGCCACGCACCCTTTTCCAATGCCTACCAGTTTTCGCCATAAGTAGAGTATTTGCAATTTATGCTTCCATGCTAAGTTTAAGTTCCCCAGCGTAATTGGCTTTAGAGATGTAATGGTTTTTTACTTTTTAGTCTGTATAAGAATTTTACGAATATCCTGACCCCAGCGCCACATACCGAGTAAATTTTTCGAGACCAGTGCGGTGCTAACTCTAAATATAAACAAAGAAGCTCTGGGAAAAGTTAATACATTCAAATACCTAAAAATAAAGATCGATGATTAACTGAAAAAAATGGGTTCTACATTTTCAGTTAGACCTCTAGCAATATGCACATCGGTGAAAACATAAGATTTTGCGTGATGCGCTTACAAACATACAGACATACAGACCAAAATTCTAACAATTGTTGATTTGGCTTCCGTTGATCTAATAAACCCTATATTAATTTTTCTTTAATATCTATTATGTACAGATATCGGCATGTTAGAATTTTATTATTCTCAAATACTTTCGTTTGATACCCATATGGCAACATTTAGGTTGTCTTAGCAATTTAACTGAATTAAATTGTTTAAATAGGTTCAAAAATATTTTCGAAAGTAAGCTTCTTAAGCCTCTTTAGTTTGATATCCGTATTGTAATATTTCATTTATTTTACCAATTTAAACGAATACAATTTGTCAAACAGGTGACAGACCCCTTAAAAATATTTTCGGCATAAAAATTTCCTAAACTCTTTAGTTTGATGCCAATAATGCAATAATTTAATTTATCTTATCAATTAAACTAAATGAAAGTTTTCAAACAGGTTGCAACCTTCCACCGAAATATTTTCAGCTGTGAGCCTTTGTAAACCTCTTATCAATTTACTTAAACTGAAATTTTCAAACAGGTGGCAACTCTCTAATTTTTTCCTTCTATATTGTAAGTTGGACCTCTAGCGATACATCAATGAAAACTGAATTCGATTCCATGCATTAGTTTTCGAGTGATGCGCGCACAAATATACAGACAGACATACAGACAGACAAAAATTTTTAAAATTGTTAATTTGGTTTCTGCTCTAATAAAAACCCTCATATTAATTTTTCTTTAATATCTGTAACTTACTGACATCGGCATGTTACAATTTTATTATAAGTATAGATATACATAGATTTCATTTATTTTATCAATTTAATTCAATCAAATTTTTCAAACAGGTGCTAACTCTCCTCCAAAAATATTTTCGGCAATAAAATTTCCTAAACATCTTCAGTTTGATACCCATATTACAATCTTCAATTTATCTTATTTATTTAATTTAATTAAAAGTTTAAAACAGGTGCCAATCCTCAAAAAATATTTTCCGCTGTAAGGCTTCTAAAATCTCTTTCTTTTGACGGCCATATTGCCCATATTGCCTTATTCACCTTTTCTTATCAATTTACTTAACCTGCAATTTTCAAACAGGTGGCAACTCTTAAATTTTTTTCTTTCTATATTTTAAGTTAGACCTCTACCCATACATCGGTGAAAACTGTATTCAATTCCGTGCATTAGTTTTCGAGTGATGCGCGTGCAAACATATAGACAGACAGACAAAAATTCTAAAAATGGTTGATTTGGCTTCTGTGGCTCTAATAAAGATCCCAAACATTAATTTTTTTTAAATATCTTTAATGTACAGACATCGGCCTGATACAATTTTATTATATTTATAGATTATTTTATTCTATTGTGTTTATCCGAAGAAGCCTTAGAAGCCAGTCATAAAAATATAAGGAAAGTGCGATTTTCCCATACAAGAAGACGGGATATTTAATGGCTCATTTCCCTGCAAACCATTTTTTCAGAGTATTCTGCATTGTAACGACATTTTAAAGAATTCGTTAAGATTTAATTTGATTTTTTGCCGAATTTTCTAAAATGAAATAAATTACGCACACTTCCATTCTTTTACGAAATTCCGGAAGAAAATCTGTGAATCAACGAAAATAATGGTGCTATGTGAAGAATATATTTCAGAATTTTTCCAGAATTTTTTTAATTTTTCGTACAGAAATTTCTTTACGAGTTCGTGTCAACCGCTTCATATAATTTTCTTTGAAAATTCGTAAAAAAATCGTTACAGAGAGATACTCCTAACGATTTCCTTAAGATTTCGGGAACTTTGGTTTGCAGGGTTGTTATTAATGTCGGATGCGGAACTATCATCAGTTAGGTCTACAAAAAAAAAATGTGAATTTGAAGAAACTGAGAGATACATATAAAAAGATTGAGCAAGTTTAGAAAAACTTCTATTTATGATCCTTTTTAAAGAAAATATTAAATTATAAATTTTTTCAATAACTTAAATTCATAAGGGAGGTAGTCATTTCCTGATACCACATGAAACAAAATTTGTCAAGGGTTAAAAAGTTTATTTTTAGTTTTTAGTACATTCTGGTCACCAATGTAGCTAAAATCTAGTTTTTACGAAAAAGGATATAGGGAGGTTGTCATGTCCTTGCATCGAACAGAACGAAATTTGCCACAGAGCTTAAGGACAGACAGCTACCAATTTTCGCTTTATTCTGTTTATAATTGTTGCGAAAATTAAACTTTTAAAATTAAGGATGTATGTAAGGATATAATTTTACAACAGTTACCAATTGTAGCCAAAATTAAACATTTAAAATTAAAGAATTATGGGAGGTAGTCATGTCTTTGCACCGATTTTGCCAAAACTTCGATTTTTTTTTAATTTACATATTTTGAACCAGCACTCCAAATTTCATTTTTCTTCGACAACTCCTCTAATTTTGCCGATTCACTGTATGGGGGCGAAGCACTGTGCGACGCTCGCTTTTTCGTGCTATTTGGCTGTGCACCTGAATCCTTTATTAGCAATAAAAATGTAAAAACAAAACATGTTCAGTTGTACTTTCGGTTTGGCGCTTTTGCATTTGTTTCTTAGAAATGACTAACTTACACAAAATTATTGTATTATATTGACAACTGTCCGATCTTTGTTGATGCCACTCGTTTCAATAGTACGAAAAATACCCTCATTTGCATGTATAATTTGCATGAATATAAAATTCTTGGTTATGATATAAATTTTACTTACCTCCACCGATACACCTGGCAGTAGAAATGTTTGTGCGGGTGGCATGTCTCGTGGCACATATCGATAGAACTCGTTACCATCCTTGTACCACTTCACCGAGTACAGCGACTCACCATCCAAGTCGTAAAGGCATTCGAGTAGTGCTGATGAGCCCTTAACCACGTAATTTGGTATTCTCACCTCAACCAGTCGCAAACTTTGGGTGCAATCTATAAATGAATCGCGCGAAGAGTTGCAAAAGCAAAAAAGGATGAGTAAAGGACTAGAAAGGTTTTGCAAGGGCTGAAAGATGAAAGCTCAAAGTTCACTTGAAAATATGTTTATTTTAGATGCGGTGGCGAAAATGTAAAAATTATGTTTCCCCGTTTGGGAAACAGTAAAAAAATATGTTTTGATCCGCGGCCTCGCGGATTAATTAAAACACGAATTGAGTTAGTTCCAAACTTGCAAAAAGACTGCTCTTTATTTTCAATCTTAGCTTATTTATAGCATTTACAATATTTATTTAACAATTAATTTCACAATAAGGCGTTGGCATTGCATCATGCTATGATGAAATGCTAATGTCTTGGACAAAGAAGTTATTTGACACCCTTGAATGGAATTTTACATTCTGAGCGGAAAAAATATATCAAATTTCAATTTTTGACAAAGAAATCAAATGAGTCATCAATTATGCAGCTGCATAATTGCTGAGTTTGCAAAATTGCATTATGAATCCGCAAGATACAAATTAATAAGAAATATGGTTTATATTTACTACTGTGCCGCTATGTGTGGTCTGCCGTTAACTCCCCCCTATCTAAGATGAATCGTACCCGATTCTTCATTATTTTCTGTTAATTTTTCTATTTGATCCAATATAACTTTGTATGTATTTTCTTGAATTTCTATATTTTCGTTTTGATTGGCAGTTTTATGCGGTTTTTTGAATTTAATGTAAATGTCAATTACTAAAATTATGACAATATACAAAATGGATAAATGAGTTTTGACATTTTTATCTTCTTTGGCTAATATATTTATGTTTTCCAATTTGCGTTGTTTATTGGTTGTTTCTATATATTCCAAAATTTCAAAGTTATTTGCATAATCATTTTTTAAATAATTCTAAATCTTTGCTTCAATATTTTCATAGGTTTTGTTATTAATTACAGTATCATTTTCAAATGTTACTAAATATGTTCCTGGTAAAGTTTGCTTTTCTACAATATTTTCTCCTGAAATCAATATTGCTCCTTGTTTTATAATTTCAATTGGAACATTTCTTTCTTTTATTTTTGTACATTTTCCTTGTTTTTTATTTAAATTTTTGATAAACATGTACTTTGCTTGTACAGTTTACAATATGTTTTTAAAATTTCTGTTTTACAATCTTTTACATTGAGGAACTTGTTGTTACAATTGGTTACATTTTTAACAATAATAAGCCTACCATCTAATTGTGCAATAGCTCTAACTTCGTAATATTTACATGCTAACTTAATTTTTTGATATTTTATATATAGTACAATTATATAATTTTTTTGGGCTATTTTAAATTTTTAAATATCCATTAGGTCTGTATGGTCATTGTACCGTGCTGGTAATATGTTATATTTTTTAATTCGTCAAAGTGCAAAATAGTAGGGTTCAAAATTCCTACTTTACCAAAAGTTATTGTATTTATCATGTTTTGTAGTTTATGTATAATATNTTTTTCTTGAGAGCTGGATTGTAAGCTTTAAGATATAGTTCGTATTTGAGGTTATTGGCTTTATTTTACATTTATTTATTTATTTATTTATTTAAGTACTCTAACACAACAACCACAGGTTATATTTCAGTGTTAGATACTGAGAATATTACAATAAAACATAACGATATTAAAATATATAAAATTTGAACTTAACATCTAAAACTTATACAATTATTCATAAACTGTAAGATTGAAGTGAATAAAGAAAAATACAGTTGAGGGATTCACTGCGATGTCGTAAGTATCGTATTGTTTTATGTCGTAAACTTAAAAGCTTAAATAAATGTTTAGAGAACTTGAAACCACAACCAACTATTTTTTAACACTGCGAAAATACACAATATGACTTGGATGGTACTTTGCAAACCCCTTTACCATGTTTTTTAGGCGTTTAAAGTTTACGACATACAACAGCACGAGACTTACGACACTGTTGTGAATACCCCAAGTAATTTAGAAAAATTTAGTAATTTAGAGTTGAGGTGACTGACGCGAGTTAAATAGTTACAACTTTTGTTAGTCAGCATAGTGTCTAAGTAATGCTATTTTAAAGTGCAATGTGTCCTTAATAGACCTGAGTTTAAGTGGTAATTTGTTCCATAGGCGAACAGTATAGACAAAAAACTGACGCTCAGATATGAAAGATTTGAATTTCAGGTGCAAAAGCTGTTGTAATCGTGACGATTGAGTAATTTGAAGACGATTTTTGAGATGCGGATGCTCCTCTGAGAATAAAATTTTCTGAAGCATTGTAAGGCACTTGAGTTTCAGCATATCGTCGAGTGATATTGAAGTTATCTTTCGAGCCGATTGAGAGATGTGGTCATCAGTGTCGCCAGGTCTTCGGCATGAGAAAACATCCCTCTTGGTCTGAAAAAACCTCATCTCCTACCCAAAAACGTCTTTTTCAAATGAATGTACAAAAAATTCGTCTTATTAAACTTTTATTGCATACAAAGGTACATAGATATGTACCTAAGGTATATTAAAATGTCATTTCGACACAGCACATTTAAAATTCATTGTAAACTTGGTTGAGATCGTTAATATAAACATCATTTTATACATATACTTGTGACCAGCTGATTAAGTCAACAGCATTTCGATCGATTTTGGCTGTTTCTCTTTTGTTTATTTAATGTTTACTATTTTTCCATAAAAGCCAATCTCATTATATAACAAACAAAATATAAATCCACATTTCAAACTTTGTGCAAAAGTTATAAAAAATCTGTAAAGTTTCAGCTAGATTTTCAACTTTTTANTATTTTTCCATAAAAGCCAAGCTCATTATATAACAAACAAAATATAAATCCACATTTCAAACTTTGTGCAAAAGTTATAAAAAATCTGTAAAGTTTCAGCTAGATTTTCAACTTTTTAATCCGATTTTTTAGAATTTTTTTGAGTATGCAGTTTGATGGCGCATTAAATTTCATGGCAATACTGTGCAAGTTTGAATGGGTTAATAATCGCATTGATTTTTAATAGTTTTTTTTTTCTTGTAGGCATTTGGTTAGGGGGTCGGTTGTCGAAAATGCTAAATTACGTTCTGCTAAGAAGGAGCATAGCAATATTTCAGCCTTTTTTGCGCTCGTTACATTTTCAATGAAGTCTTAAAAAATTCGCCTAGTTTTTTCTGACTTTTTATGCCGCTACAGCTTTTTTGATGCTTTTGCGAGCGTGCGTGTTGCAATATATCAGCTTTTCCTGATTTGGCTTTTAATGTGCCTATTGCAAACATTACAATAAGCCTCGTAACCTCAAGTGTTTACACAACCAACCTTTGAACACGGGATCCTTAGTCCAAGATCAAAAAAAAAGTGCGCGTACGCTTGGTTTGCATCATATTTAAGTCATATGTGTCCAAAGAATAAATATCTTTTGAAGCAGCTGCTGCAAAACACAGCTTGTAAAGATTTTTTAAGAAAGTAATTCAAAATCAGATCTACTTACAAGACCCTTATAGTCAAAAAGAAAAATTACTGGGAAGTTAAAAAACATAATTTTTTACACAAAAAACGTCCAAACGTCAACGGGATACAAAAAACGTCCAAATGACGTTAAAAACGTCAACCTGGCAACGCTGGTGGTCATACCGTTTTTTGCTAAATATATACCTGGCCATGTTATTATAAAGCACGTTGAGTTTTTTATTGAATTGACTATCGCTGTTAGCATAGAGTTCGCAACCGTACAACAGCGTTGGTAGCAAGTAAGATTTCGCGATTAACATTCTAGTGGGCATTGGCGTTAGGCGTTGTGTTGACCATAAATACCTTAGCGTAGCGTATACTCGTATACCAATTGTGCTATAGACATGATTAACCCATGTTAGTGTTCTATTAAATAGTACGCCCAGGTTCTTAGCTACATCAACATATGGTATCACAGTTCTGCTCAACGAAACTGTATCATAAACGTTGAGGTCAAAATGTTTTTTAAAAATAGCAATACATTGGGATTTTTTTTGGATTTAAGACCAAGCCATTGTTACTTGCCCACTCGTGAACGAGGTCTAAATCACTATTAAGGTTCTGTATGCATAGGTTTAATGAGTGAAGTGGGCAGCTCAAATATAATTGCACATCATCAGCGTACATTTGAATTTTATTGTGCTTTAATACCTTCGGCAGATCGTTGATGTACAAAACAAACAGTAAGGGGCCGAGAATCGACTCTTGAGGAACTCCTTTAGATATGGAAAGAAAACTTGACATTGCATTGCCTATGTTGACTGCTTGCGATCGGCCGAAAAGATATGAGCTAATTAGGTTTAGAGCCGAAGATGAGAATTGAAATAAATTCTTTAATTTAAGACACAGTAGTTTGTGATTTACTGTATCAAAAGCTTTGGAGTGGTCAAGAACAGTAAGCAAAGAGGTTACGCGATTATTGTCCATATTTATTCTAATGTCATCTGAAACGGTAAGAAGCGCAGTGGTACAGCTTTTCTTATGCCTGAAGCCAGATTGGTACGCGCTAACCAGGGAATTTTTAGATATAAACGAGTCAATCTGCTGATGCATTATGAGCGCTAAGACTTTAGATAGATATGGGAGAATCGCAATAGGTCTGTAGTCACCATTTGATTTCAGAATGGGTACTATTTTGGCTTTTTTCCATCAGTTCGGGAATATAGCTGATGTAAGAATGTTATTTATTGCGCAGGTAATATATGGAAGAAGTTTCGGGGGCAAACATTTGAAAAACTTCGGATGAATGTCATCCAAACCAGCGGCGTTAGATTTTATAGATAGTACTGACTGGACAACGTCACACTCATTAACACAATTAAAGCTGAAGTTTGACAGCGACCTTTTCAAGAGTATTCGAGGAGTCAAGGAACTGCTTATTAAATCATTTACATTTACAACATCAAGGATTTGTGCCCTTTCTTTTCCGATCCCTATTTCGCGAATTCGCTGCCATGTTTGCTTTGACCCAATTGCTGCACTGAATCTTTGGTCGTAATACATAGTTTTTTGGGTTTTTATTGCTTTAATTGTCTCTGTTCGAAGAGTTTTAAAGTCGTTGTAAAGGACATCTGTCCTATAACGCTTCCACTTCTGGTATGCTCGATCTCGTTTTGAAATTAACGTTTTGATATGGCTATTAAACCAAGGACGGCATTTATCCGAAATAGTTGTCGTAACAAGCGGTACAAATTGATTAAAAAGGCTTTTAATATTAGCTTGAATAAAATCAATTTGGTCATTTACTGAAACCATTGTGTATATGGATGCCCAGTTCACAGAGTCGACATACTTCTCAAGGTCTTCATATTGGATATGCGCAAAGTCACGGTAAGAGTAGTACTCTGTTTTGCTTGTCAACTCGAAATCAAAAATGAGGTAAATAAGATCGTGCTTAGAAAAGCTTGAAAGGTCGAGTTGATCATATAGGAGTACTTTGTTCTTATTATTTACAAAAAAGACATCAAGTAGTGAGCTACTGGTATTTGTAAAATTAGTGGGTGTCGAACAGTTGACGGAAAACATCGCTGAGTAGATCAGAATTAAAATCACCGGCTATTACGATATTGTTAAAAGACAACGTAAGTTCTTCCAAATAATCAACAAAGTCAACGAAATTAATGTATTTGTTTGGCCTGTAAACACAACCTAAGAGGATTTTATTTGACTTTGTTGCTATTTGTAAGAATAGATACTCGATGGGGCTACTAACCCCTGATTTACAATGAAGCTTGGATGAAATACTAGATTTTACAAACATGGCAGCCCCACCACCGCGCTCAACTCTATCTGACCTAAATAACACATATCCATTAACAGAAACCGACTCATTATTGTGCCAATAAGGAAACCATGTCTCAGAAACGCATATAATATCAACGCCTGAATGTTCAAAAAGGTACCTGAATACGTCAATTTTTTTGAGTAAACTTTGAGCATTAATATGGCATATTTTCAGCACAAGTTTTTGCTTACCCAAAATTCGTAGCATGCTAAAATTATCGCCTTTGGAACTGCAGAAGCTATTAAGACTCATATAAAATGAGAATGAAAATCAAAAGGCATGGAACATTGCACTTTAAGAGCGTACCGAGAATAAGCTCAAAAAGTAAATTGTAAATAGTCAACATACTGGCAGTCAAGCTGCAAGAGATAGAAAAGAGAAATAAGATACAAAGAGAGAAAGTTTCGAAGGTATGCTTAACAATCATAGTTTGCTTAATAATCAAGAATGATAGAATACAAGATTGCGCCGATCAGAGAGGATTTTTGAGAATAACTTTTGTGTGACGTCACACTGGTGCAATTGCGAGAGCGGAATGCCAAAACGTGAGCAAGAATGGAAGAAGAAGAAAAATGTTGCAAGGAAAACGTAAACAAGTTGCACAAGTGTGACGTAATGCAAACAACGATTCTGTCAAATTCGTTAAGAGAGGAATAGCGGTCCGAGATCGGCGCAACCTTTGTATTCTCTCAATCGTGCTTAATAATCATATTTTCTAACTGCTGTATTATTCGATGCTGTAATCTTTCATTTTTTGACTGCTGCAATTCGCTCTATGTTATCTACACTTGTCACAATTACTGCCTCGCCTTTTGTTTGCACACGAACATAAACATGCACACGAACATAAACATGTCCACGGACGGAGAACACAGAAGTAAGCCGCTTTTGTCTTCTTAGCTCAGTACCAAACTGCAAGACTTCGCGATTTCGCTTTGTCAGGCATTCATGCAAATATATTTTGTCATCTGCACTCTGACCAATATCGCGAAGAGCAATTGGTCGTTTTTTCGTTTTGCAGAACTTCGCAACCGCACTAAATGACGCAGAATGGTCACTAGCAGAGCCAAGCTTAGCGATGATTGGCGCGGCTTTGCTGTTGTCATTATTATTATTGCGGACACGGAAAATTGCACGAACAGGTGGAGTATTTATCTGAACTGCGCGACATAGCTGAGCAAAACATTCAGTCAAGCTCTCGTTTTTTGTGTGTGTGGGGGATTCCTCTTATAATAAGATCTGACGCCACTAAAGCATTCTGACATTCGTCGACTTGTGCACTTAGTACTTCGACATCATTGCGCAGTTGTTGTACTTTTGCGCCTTCTTTCTCTGCTCTTTCAACTCTGGCTTCAATGTGTTTTACAGACTTGTTTAACTTTGCTAAGCCCGCCGTCAACTCACCAATCCTCTGCATAACACGTTCCTCAGATTGAGACAAACGAGCTGTTAGCTCCCAGATGATGCTCTCATTTTGCGCTTATATCTTCGTTTCTAGCCGTGCGAGCCAGCTCGGTGTTGGTGGACTATCACACTTTGCGGCCTTATTCTGCATGTTCGTTATTTGAACGGAGTTGAAGCTGCTTGGCGGGATGATTTAGTTCGTGTTGTCACACTATTAATAATCATTTTTACACAAATCCCTAATCGGTGTATTAGAGTTTATTGAGTCGATTTGTTAAAACCTTCACTTATTTACTGTGTGGAAGTTTATGGCAATATTGGCCGTGAAAAACCACGGAAAATTCTAAGAATACTGCATCATTAAATCAGACACGTCAGCTTGCGAGCACGAAGATTAAAAAAAATGTTTTAGTTATTGTGTCTCCTTTCATATTCTGTACTGTATCAGTTAATTCCGTTATAATTTTAAAAATTTCTGTATTTGTTGTAAACTGTTTATTGTTATTTGAAACTAGCTCATCTAATTTATCATTAATTCTTATAAAATCGTCATGGTCTGGGGTACCTGACCTAGTTCATTAATACCTCTCTTTTGTCTGATAAGTTTTTGTTTTAGTTGTCCTAATAATGTTTCAATTACCAAAATTTCTGACTCAGTTTCTGAATTTCTGATTTCTAGCTCATTAATATTGTTATTATTTTCGTCATAATGAACATTGTTATAAAAATTTGGGTTTTCCTGTTGAAACTAGCTCATCTAATTTATCATTGATTCTTATAAAATCGTCATGGTCTGGGGTACCTGACCTAGTTCATTAATACCTCTCTTTTGTCTGATAAGTTTTTGTTTTAGTTGTCCTAATAATGTTTCAATTACCAAAATTTCTGACTCAGTTTCTGAATTTCTGATTTCTAGCTCATTAATATTGTTATTATTTTCGTCATAATGAACATTGTTATAAAAATTTGGGTTTTCCTGTTGAAACTAGCTCATCTAATTTATCATTGATTCTTATAAAATCGTCATGGTCTGGGGTACCTGACCTAGTTCATTAATACCTCTCTTTTGTCTGATAAGTTTTTGTTTTAGTTGTCCTAATAATGTTTCAATTACCAAAATTTCTGACTCAGTTTCTGAATTTCTGATTTCTAGCTCATTAATATTGTTATTATTTTCGTCATTACATTGTTATAAAAATTTTGTTTTTCCTGTTCTATAATATTTTCAAAATATGTTAAGTTAGTGATGTGAAAAATATCTCCATAGTTTTCGTAAATAGAGACATCTCCATTTTCAATCAAAATATAATCTTGTCGAGTGTAATCTACAATGTCAGCTGTCATTAAGTCGATTAAGGTTTTAATTACGAATATTACCATGTTGGAAACCTATAAATAATTAAGATTTTATATTATCTTGTTCCCTAAATTTTCTTTACTTGTTGTCTCCTATATCTAGCTTTAACCTTATTTAATTCCCCTACAATTTTTCACAAACAATTTCTCCTGGGTGGAATGGAAAACTTATATCAACTTCGGTATGTATTTCACCGATTGTATATTTTTTGTATTCATTCAACTTTGACAAATCGTTATTTTCATGTTCACATTAGTAATACGTTATTTCTCGGCTGGTGCTAAAGGATCTTCCTGTCCTAAAGCAAAATATTTTCCTAATAATATATTGCCAGTAAAATCTTTAGCTGGCTTTATGGAATCTTTATGTTCCTCAATGTCAAATTTTTTATAGACCCATTTTACGGAAGCTTTATGTTCCTCAATTTTTTTTATCGGAAGCTTTATGTTCCTTGATTGTTTATCGGAAGCTTTATGTTCCTTAATTTCTTCATCGGAAGCTTTATGTTCCTTAATTTTTTCATCGAGAGCTTTATGTTCCTTAATTTTTTCATCGGAAGGTTTATGTTCCTTAATACCAATTTTTGTATCGGCTAGTTTTTTGGAAAATTTATGTTCCTTGATGCAATTTTTGTATCGGCTGGTTTTTTGGAATTTATTTGTTCCTTGGTTTTAATTTGTTTAGTAATTTATTAATTACATTTAAATCGCCGGTACATTTATCGGTAGTTACCTTGGAAACTTTCTGTTCCAAAGGATTTATATTTTTTGCATGAATATTAATGTTCATGCTATTTTGGACACATTCGGTATAAATTTTTATTTTGTAAAAAATTGTCTCATTGATTATACCCCAAAAGGAGATCGGATTCCATGTTTTCTATTTCATAAAAAACCTGTTTGCCTCCAAATAGGGTTATCAAATGGTAATATTTAATGATTGAATAACGATTCACGGTGTTTACCTTTTTGTAAATGGCTAATTCGTTCCTATTTTCATATACCCCCTGCCTAATATAACATGAGGTAGCCCCTGTATCGACAAGAGCTTTTAAGTGTTTGCCTAATTTGGCATCGTAGAGGCTGATGTAGGGGAGGACGTCCCCTCTTCCTCTAAAAAATGACTTTCGTTTAAATTGTTTACCCTTTGGGTTTTTTCCTGCTTTCTCTTGGTCGCTTCGGAGTGTGAGCATTTTGGGTTTTAGGGCCGAAATATTTAATGGCTGCAATAGCACTCGTGCTAGCCATATTTGAGTTGTATTTCATGAAACCATTATTTTGTTGCGGTTTGGTAACAATATTATTCCGGAATCTTGATAGCGATGGATCTATATCCATGGGTTATGGTTTAGTCATGTTGTTCCTTAATGGGAACCTCAAGTTATTACTTCAGAATTTTGGTAACCTAGCTCTTATTTTTTCATTTGCAAAATTTTGCGCAAATAATGCTCTCTGATTGTTTGATTCGAGCTCCTGTGCTTTTGCAAAAGCATCAGGCAAATCTTGCGGGTTAAGCGAAAAAATTATATCTCTTAAGGGCGCATTGAGTCCTGTTATAAAAATTCTTAGGGCGTGATTCCTATTCTACTTATTAAGCTCTTTAGTTATATCCGACGCATTTCCATGTGTCATTATTGTTTTATTTATTAATAAAGTCATTTTTTTGTTGACCAGGTTGTAATATTCTACAACCGACATTACGCCTTGTCGAAGGACGCCTAATTCCTGCTCAGTAATGTGTATCGGGCTTTTGGCCGAGTACGCGAAGTAAAGGCTAGCGACTATCGCATCGAAATTTAACACGGTGCCGTGGTTTGTTAGGACATCGTTCGCGTCCTGAGTTACTTTGTTTCTCAAAATCGTAATAGCCGCGAAGTATTTTCTACTGCCTCTCACGTACAGGCTCATTGCGTTATGAGCAGAGTTGGGCAAAATTTATTCGAATGACGAATAACAAATGAAAAAATTGTTTTTCTTGTTATTCGTAAATAATAAATCATTTTGGTTATTCAAAAAAAATTATTCGCATGATGGATAAATTATGTTATTCGTTATTCGAATAATTATTATCTTCATTAATTATTCGAATAACGAATAAAATAATAATAAAACAAATAATTTATGTATATAGATATGTACATATATTTATGTATAAAATGATAACCGTTTTCGTTGTTGTGATTTAACTCAAACCCCTAGATAGATTTAAATCAAATTTTCGGCGGTTATTCCATGCGCATTAAGTCCTATTAAAGGCTACTAGAAAACTCCTTTGTGGCGATGGAGCCGAGTTATTTATAAAAGCCGTATTTATGAACTGATTTCGTTCAAATTCAAAATGTGTTCTTCCTGCATGATGAAAAATACTTATGCGAAAAATGGACCCGCTAGGTGGCGCTACAGTTGAGTTATTTAGAAAATCCCTACTTATTGTACAATCAGGTTGCAATTCATAATGGTGCTGCAGTCGAAATCTCTAGAAACCCCATATGTCTGGACTCCTTTGTTTTTTATGTTTATATTATACGAATTTACGAT